GAAGGCTGGAGGGAGGGGAGGTTGGGGTCACCTAGAGAAGGCTGGAGGAGGGGAGGTTGGGGTCATCCTAGAGAAGGCTGGAGGGAGGGGAGGATGGGGGCATCCTAGAGAAGGCTGGAGGGAGGGGAGGTTGGGGTCATCCTAGAGAAGGCTGGAGGGAGGGGAGGTTTGGGGCATCCTAGAGAAGGCTGGAGGGAGGGGAGGTTGGGGTCATCCTAGAGAAGGCTGGAGGGAGGGGTTGGGGTCATCCTAGAGAATGCTGGAGGGAGGGAGGTTGGGTCAACCTAGAGAAGGCTGGAAGGGGGGGGGTTGGGGTCATCCTAGAGAAGGATGGAGGGAGGGGAGGTTGGGGTCATCCTAGAGAAGGATGGAGGGAGGGGAGTTGGGGTCATCCTAGAGAAGGCTGAGGAGGGGAGGTTGGGGTCATCCTAGAGAAGGCTGGAGGGAGGGGAGGTTGGGGTCTCCTAGAGAAGGATGGAGGGAGGGGAGGTTGGGGTCATCCTAGAGAAGGATGCAGGGAGGGAGGTTGGGGTCATCCTAGAGAAGGGCTGGAGGGAGGGGGGTTGGGTCATCCTAGAGAAGGCTGGAGGGAGGGGAGGTTGGGGTCATCCTAGAGAAGGCTGGAAGGACGGGGGTTTGGGGTCATCCTAGAGAAGGATGGAGGGAGGGAGGTTGGGGTCATCCTAGAGAAGGCTGAAGGAGGGGAGGTTGGGGTCATCCTAGAGAAGGCTGGAGGGGGGGGAGGTTGGGTCATCCTAGAGAAGGCTGGAGGGAGGGGAGGTTGGGGTCATCCTAAGAAGGCTGGAGGGGGGGTAGGTTGGGGTCATCCTAGAGAAGGCTGGAGGGAGGGGGGTTTGGGGTCATCCTAGAGAAGGCTGGAGGGAGGGGAGGTTGGGGTCATCCTAGAGAAGGCTGGAAGGAGGGGGGGTTGGGGTCATCCTAGAGAAGGATGGAGGGAGGGGAGGTTGGGGGCATCCTAGAGAAGGTGGAGGGAGGGGAGGTTGGGGTCATCCTAGAGAAAGCTGGAGGGAGGGGGTTGGGGTCATCCTAGAGAAGGCTGGAGGGAGGGGAGGTTGGGGTCATCCTAGGGAAGGCTGGAGGGGGGGGGGTTGGGTCATCCTAGAGAAGGCATGGAGGGAGGGGAGGTTGGGGTCATCCTAGAGAAGGCTGGAAGGAGGGGGGTTGGGTCATCCTAGAGAAGGATGGAGGGAGGGGAGGTTGGTCATCTAGAGAAGGCTGGAGGAGGGGAGTTCGGGTCATCCTAGAGAAGGCTGGAAGGAGGGGAGGTTGGGGTCATCCTAGAGAAGGCTGAGGAGGGGGAGGTTGGGGTCATCCTAGAGAAGGCTGGAGGAGGGGGGTTTGGGGGCATCCTAGAGAAGGCTGGAGGGGGGGGAGGTTGGGGTCATCCTAGGGAAGGCTGGAGGGAGGGGGTTGGGTCATCCTAGAGAAGGCTGGAGGGAGGGGAGGTTGGGGTCATCCTAGAGAAGGCTGGAAGGAGGGGGGGTTGGGTCATCCTAGAGAAGGATGGAGGGAGGGGAGGTTGGGGTCATCCTAAGAAGGCTGGAGGGAGGGAGGTTCGGGTCATCCTAGAGAAGGCTGGAAGGAGGGGAGGTTGGGGTCATCCTAGAGAAGGCTGGAGGGAGGGGAGGTTTGGGGTCATCCTAGAGAAGGGTAGGAGGGGGGGTTGGGGTCATCCTAGAGAAGGCTGGAGGGAGGGGAGGTTGGGGTCATCATAGAGAAGGCTGGAGGGAGGGGAGGTTGGGGTCATCCTAGAGAAGGCTGGAGGGAGGGGAGGTTGGGGTCATCCTAGAGAAGGCTGGAGGTAGAGGAGGTTGGAGTCATCCTAGAGAAGGCTGGAGCTAGGGAGGTTGGGGTCATCCTAGAGAAGGCTGGGGAGGGGAGGTTGGGGTCATCCTAGAGAAGGCTGGAGGGAGGGGAGGTTGGGGTCGTCCTAGAGAAGGCTGGAGGGAGGGAGGTTGGGGTCATCCTAGAGAAGGCTGGAGGGAGGGAGGTTGGGGTCATCCTAGAGAAGGCTGGAGGAGGGGAGGTTGGGGTCATCCTAGAGAAGGCTGGAGGGAGGGGAGTTGGGGTCATCCTAGAGAAGGTGGGAGGGAGGGGAGGTTGGGGTCATTCTAGAGAAGGCTGGAGGGGGGAGGTTGGGGTCATCCTAGAGAAGGTGCGAGGGAGGGGAGGTTGGGGTCATCCTAAGAAGGCTGGAGGGAGGGAGGTTGGGGTCGTCCTAGAGAAGGATGCAGGGAGGGGAGGTTGGGGTCATCCTAGAGAAGGTGGGAGGGAGGGGGGTTGGGGGTCATCCTAGAGAAGGTTGGAGGAAGGGGAGGTTGGGGTCATCCTAGAGAAGGCTGGAGGAGGGGAGGTTGGGGTCATCCTAGAGAAGGTGGGAGGGAGGGGGGTTGGGGTCATCCTAGAGAAGGCTGGAGGGAGGGGAGGTTGGGGTCATCCTAGATAAGGTGGGAGGGAGGGGGGTTGGGGTCATCCTAGAGAAGGATGCAGGGAGAGGAGGTTGGGTCATCCTAGAGAAGGCTGGAGGGAGGGGAGGTTGGGGTCATCCTAGAGAAGGCTGGAGGGAGGGGAGATTGGGGTCATCCTAGAGAAGGTGGAGGGAGGGGAGGTTGGGGTCATCCTTGAGAAGGCTGGAGGGGGGAGGTTTGCGGTCATCCTAGAGAAGGCTGGAGGGGGGGGGGGTTGGGGTTATCCAAGAGAAGGCTGGAGGGAGGGGAGGTTGGGGTCATCCTTGAGAAGGCTGGAGGGAGGGGAGGTTGGGTCATCCTAAAAGAAGCTGGAGGGGGGGGAGGTTGGAGTCATCCTAGAGAAGGCTGGAGGGAGGGGAGGTGGGGTCATCCTAGAGAAGGCTGGAGGGAGGGGAGGTTGGGTCATCCTAGAGAAGGCTGGAGGGAGGGGAGGTTGGGGTCATCCTAGAGAAGGCTGGAGGGAGGGGAGGTTGGGGTCATCCTACAGAAGGCTGGAGGGAGGGGAGGTTGGGGTCATCCTACAGAAGGCTGGAGGGAGGGAGGTTGGGGTCATCCTAGAGAAGGCTGGAGGAGGGAGGTTGGGGTCATCCTAGAGAAGGTGGAGGGAGGGGAGTTGGGTCATCCTAGAGAAGGCTGGAGGGAGGGGGGTTGGGGTCATCCTAGAGAAGGCTGGAGGGAGGGGAGATCGGGTCATCCTAGAGAAGGCTGGAGGGAGGGAGGTTGCGGTCATCCTAGAGAAGGCTGGAGGAGGGGAGGTTGGGGTCATCCTAGAGAAGGGTGGAGGGAGGGGAGGTTGGGGTCATCCTAGAGAAGGCTGGAGGGAGGGAGGTTGCAGTCATCCTAGAGAAGGCTGGAGGGAGGGGAGGTTGGGGTCATCCTAGAGAAGGCTGGAAGGAGGGGGGATTGGGGTCATCCTAGAGAAGGCTGGAGGGAGGGGAGGTTGGGGTCATCCTAGAGGAAAGGCTGGAGGGAGGGGAGGTTGTGGGCATCCTAGAGAAGGCTGGACGGAGGGGAGGTTGGGGTCATCCTAGAGAAGGCTGGAGGGAGGGGGGGTTTGCAGTCATCCTAGAGAAGGCTGGGAGGGGGGGAGGTTGGGGTCATCCTAGAGAAGGCTGGAGGGAGGGGAGGTTGGGGTCATCCTAGAGAAGGCTGGAGGGAGGGGAGATTGGGGTCATCCTAGAGAAGGCTGGAGGGAGGGGAGTGTGGGTCATCCTAGAGAAGGCTGGAGGGAGGGGGGTTGGGGTCATCCTAGAGAAGGCTGGAGGGGGGGAGGTTGGGGTCATCCTAGAGAAGGCTGGAGGGAGGGAGGTTGGGGTCATCCTAGAGAAGGCTGGAGGGAGGGGAGATTGGGTCATCCTAGAGAAGGCTGGAGGGAGGGGAGGTTGCGGTCATCCTAGAGAAGGCTGGAGGGAGGGGAGGTTGGGGTCATCCTAGAGAAGGCTGGAGGGAGGGGAGTTGGCGGTCATCCTAGAGAAGGCTGGAGGGAGGGGAGGTTGGGGTCATCCTAGAGAAGGCTGGAGGGAGGGGAGGTTGGGGTCATCCTAGAGAAGGTTAGATGGAAGGGGGTTGAGGTCATCCTAGAGAAAGTTGGTGGGAAGGGGGTAAAGGAGGTTTTGAGAGTGAGGGGCTTGGACATCCAGCAACTGTGTGAATGTGTGTTAGACAGAAGTGGAGACAAGTAGCTTTTATGATTTGATGTGCTGTTGGAGTGTGAGCAGGATAATTATAATCAAAAAAGAAGAGTTAAGCCACAAGGACTATACAGCGCTGCAGGTGAGCAGGATAAGATTTACGAAAGGCTTCACCACCAGGATTCAATTCTAGTCAGCTGGACTTGAATCCTGGAGGTGATAAGTACAGTGTCTGCACTCTGAAGGAGAGGTCAATATGTTGCGGACTGAAGGGTAATCAGAAGTGTGATGTCAATACACCTATGGCAAGACAGTGATTGAATGAATGATGGTGAAAGTGTTTTCCTCTTTGTCAGGTCATCAGACTTCAGTGGGAGACTTCCAGTGTTAAAAAAAATTACAATAAAAACAGTATAACAAAGAGATGCATTTAGATTCTAAGTACAAATGACAAACAGATAATGAAATTAGATGTTTCAGAATGTCCTGGACCATAAACATTACACTCTCATGCCTAGTTTCATCTTCAATTTGTAGGTTAGTTAATTGTTCCAGCATAGATATTGTAACTCATATTTTTTGAAGATACTTTCTATGTACATGATGCATAACTATCAGCTTTTCTAACTGTACATATATACATTGCAAACAAAAACATTTATAGCTCGTTTGTGTTTCCTGATCATCATCAATCCCAGTCTCCCTCACACCTCCACCACCCCCATCAATCATCCCCACCACAACTCCAAGCATCTCCAACCCTCCATAATAACACACATTCTTCTCTCTACCTTTCCCCTCCCTTCTTTCTTTCCTTTAAATAAAAACTTTTCTGTTCCACCATCAGCAGGAAAAACAAAGAAAACAATTTATTTCTGACCTTAACCTGGTATTCCTTCAGCAGTCCATTAACCATCATCTTGGCTTGTTGTGTGACCGTCTCCTTGATAGTGTGAGCTATGGAGTAGTAGTTCTTCTCTCCAGATGCGTCTTTGTACTCATCGTCCTCTACCTTGGCTTTCTTCACCACCTCCTGGGGATTACCCTCTAAATCCAAGGTGGATTTTTTATCTTCTGAAGTGTCTGTTGCAAAGAATAAGAAAGGTTAAGCTGAAGAATTATGCACATGTGCAACATCTGGGTATCTTTATTTGCAGATCTTTCACCATCCAGTGGATTTATCAGTACAAATTCAAGGATATAATGGGAAGACTGTAGCACTATATAGCTCAATCGCTAGCACACTCAGTTCACACACTGAGGTCTGGGGATTGATCCCTGGTAAGGCTGGAAAACATTAGGCTGTGTTTCCATAAGACACCTGCTGTCCATGTTCACCCATCAGTAAAAAGGGTACCTGAATATTAGTGGACTGGTGTGGGTCACATCCTGGGTGTTAGTGGACTGGTGTGGGTCACATCCTGGGACAGAATTGACTTAATTTGCGGGAAATGCTCAGCATAACAAGGGACTTTCTATATACAGGTCTCCCTCAACATTCGCGAGGGTTAGGGGGATCAAGAGCCTCGCGAATGTTGAAAAAACCATGAATGTTTGGTGCCCCAATATATTGTAGGGAAATATATTACAATACTGCTTCCTTAACTTGTTGAACCATGAATAATCATAAAATACATGAAAACATCATAAATTGTACTAAATATATACATGTTATGCTTTAATAACATGTATGTTAATAACATGTATGTTATTAAATACCACAGACTCCACAGCAATGCCAAGACAGCAATGCCTAAGCGTACGTAATAAGGCAAATAGATTACTGGGATTTATATCAAGAAGTGTAAGCAACAGAAGTCCAGAGGTCATACTGCAGCTTTATACATCATTAGTAAGGCCTCACCTAGATTATGCAGCTCAGTTCTGGTCTCCATATTACAAAATGGACATAAATTTGTTAGAAAACATTCAGCGTAGGATGACTAAATTAATACATAGCATTAGAAATCTTCCTTATGAAGAAAGATTGAAGACTCTTAAGTTACATTCACTTGCTAGAAGAAGAATGAGGGGAGACCTGATCGAAGTGTATAAGTGGAAGATAGGTATTAATAAAGGGGATATTAACAAGGTCTTGAGGATATCTCTCCAAGAGAGAACCCGCAGTAATGGATTTAAATTAGATAAGTTTAGATTCAGAAAGGACATAGGAAAGTATTGGTTTGGAAATAGGGTAGTTGATGAGTGGAACAGTCTACCTAGTTGGGTTATTGAGGCTGGGACTTTGGGTAGTTTCAAATCTAGGTTGGATAAGTACATGAGTGGGAGGGGTTGGATTTGAGAGGGACTTTCACATCAGAGCATATTTCTTGGGTGGCATTGAAAATTGGGTTGGGCAAATGTTTTGTTAGTGGGATGAATTGTAAAGGACCTGCCTAGTATGGGCCAACAGGCCTCCTGCAGCGTTCCTCCTTTCTTATGTTCTTATGTTCCACCAATGCCTCCACCACTGCTGGTCCCTACTACCCTCCCTCTGACCCCCCCAACTGGCAGCCAACCCTCCCACCACTCAGTGTGGTGAGTGTTTTGTTTGTTCATTATTTGCTATTAAACTACAGTATAAATAATGTAAACCCATTCATGACTGCATATTGGAATGGCTATTAGGACAGGTATTGGACGGTGACATCATGTGTTACTCTTGAACACAGCAAAGAATCGAACATTTCTGCTATTGCTAATAATAACAATAGCAATAATAATAATAATAATAATAATAATAATAATAATAATAATAATAATAATAATAATAATAATAAATACGATATAATTGAAGAAGGAAATTGTACAAAAATACGAGGGAGTGGTTGACACATCGTCAGTGAGACTTTGTTTATGCTGGAGTGAACATTAGTCTCCCTGCTCTTCCAAACATTTCACAATAACTCAGCAGTTGGGGCAGTGGTATTTAATAACATATGTTAGAAATAATAATAGTACGTTATTATTAATAACATGTATTATTATTAACATGTATGTATTTAATAACATATATGTTATAAATAATAAAGGTACATATTATTAATAACATGTATTATTATTAACATGTATGTTATTAAATACCATTGCCTCAATCACTGCCTCTACCACTCCAGTCACACTCAATCTACAAGCACCAAACACAATGAGTTATTGTGAAATGTTTGGAAGAGCACGGAGACTAATGTTCATTCCAGCATAAACAAAGTCACACTGACGATGTGTCAACCACTCCCTCGTATTTTTGTACAATTTCCTTCTTCAAATACATCATATTTATTATTATTATTATTATTATTATTATTATTATTATTAGCTGTAGCAGAAATGTTTGATTCTTTTCTGTGTTCAAGAGTAAACACATGATGTCACCGTCCAATACCTGTCCTAATAGCCATTCCAATATGCAGTCATGAATGTGTTTACATTATTTATACTGTAGTATAATAGCAAATAATGAACAAACAAAACACTCACCACACTGAGTGGTGGGAGGGCTGGCTGCCAGTTGCGGGGGTCGGAGGGAGGGTAGTAGGGACTAGCAGGTGGCGGGAAACTTAAATATGATTTGGCAGCTGGGAATTTGGCGGTTGGGAATTCGCGAATGTGTGAAGCCCGTGAAAGTTGAAAACGTGAATGTTGAGGGAGACCTGTAGTAATATGTCACTGATGTCAACTATGGTCTGTATACCTTGTACATGTACTTGTAGAAATAAAGATATTATTATTATTATTATTAATCAGTCCCTCAGCCTTGGAGTTGGTAAAGAGAACTGCAGTGTAACAATGTTTCACTCTCCAAGAGCTTTATCAAGCAGTTATAGTTTTACAAAACTCCTGGAGAGTAAAATGTTGCCACAATAAATTGTTCCATTAGTTGCATCTGTGTCTTTTTACTAAACATTTTGTTGATAATTCTATCATTATTACTAAAAGTATAAATTACCCCCCAAAATATCAGTACCATTGAAACAGGAAGAACTTACTCTCTCCATCAGTCTCCTTTTCTAGTTTAGAATCTTCATCATCAGAAGAGTCAGTATCATCTTCAGGCAGAATTTCCCAACCAGGATTGGCAGCCAAGAAAGCTTCAAGATTTTCTTCAAGTGGAGCTTGCATGCCACTAACAATGGCTCCGGTAGTGGATTCCATAACTGGAATATGTCGTTTTATGGTATCACCTTCTTCACCACTGTCGACGACTGCCTCGCGTGCACGACGACGCTCCTCCCGCTGTGTAATGATAAGTCACAATACAGTGTTTGTAATACTACTTTCTTATAACACACTAGCCATCTCCCACCATGGTACAGCGACCAGCCGCCTCAGTGGTAACACACTAGCCATCTCCCACCATGGTACAGCAACCAGCTGCCTCAGTGGTAACACACTAGCCATCTCCCACCATGGTACAGCAACCAGCTGCCTCAGTGGTAACACACTAGCCATCTCCCACCATGGTACAGTGACCAGCCGCCTCAATGGTAACACACTAGCCATCTCCCACCATGGTACAGTGATCAGCCGCCTCAGTGGTAACACACTAGCCATCTCCCACCATGGTACAGCGACCACCCGCCTCAGTGGTAACACACTAGCCATCTCCCACCATGGAACAGTGACCAGTCGCTTCAGTGGTAACACACTAGCCATCTCCCACCATGGTACAGCGACCAGCCGCCTCAGTGGGAGGCGGCTGATGTGTGAAAACAAAAAGTACACTTGTCCCTACTCCCTATTTCTCAGATAATATAATATAACCAAGAGTGATTGGTCATAGTTTACAGTGTCCCATTAATTTAATTGGACCTATTAACCCTTTGACTGTCGAAGGGCCCAATCCTGAAGTTGCTCCTGGTGTCGCAAAATATTCGAAAAAAAAAAATTTATTTTTTCTTATGAAAATGTTAAGATTATTTTTCTGATTGTTTTAGTCCCAAAAACAAAATTTTCCCATCAGTACTTACCGAGATATAGAGGCATGAAGTTTGCAGAAAATGAGCCGCGTATGGCAACAGCGGCGACTGCCGCTCACCCGGTAAACTTTGGTTTACTTGTATTTGAAGGTTTAGTTGTTTTTTTCACTATTTTTATTTTTTTACATAACTTATTGGCCATGTGAGACCAAAGTAGGTGCAATGTACATATATACACTCGTTGGTATACAACACAATAAGCACCCAACATAATTATCACTATATTGTTTACCAAAACTTGTTTACAAAAACAAACAATACAAAAATTTTTTATTACTATTGTTCTATAATATATTACCAATTACAGTCACATGAACTACTCCTGAAGTTCTGTAGCTGTGGAACTCTGGTAACATGGTGCTCATAACACATGGTGTTTTACACTCCTCACACATAAAACATGGTGTCATACCTCAGTGGTGTTTTACACTCTCACACATAAAACATGGTGTCATACAAGTGGTGTTTTACACTCTCACACATAAAACATGGTGTCATGACACAGTGGTGTTTTACACTCTCACACATAAAACATGGTGTCATACACGTGGTGTTTTACACTCTTACACATAAAAAATGGTGTCATACACAGTGGTGTTTCATCTCACAATAAAACATGGTGTCATACACAGTGGTTTTGACACTCTCACACAAAACATGGTGTCATACACAGTGTGTTTTACACTCCTCAAACATAAAATCATGGTGTCATACACAATGGTGTTTACACTCACACATAAAACATGGTGTCATACACAGTGGTGTTTTACACTCTTAACATAGAAACATGGTGTATACACAGTGGTGTTTTACACTCTCACACATAAAACATGGTGTCATACACAGTGGTGATTTTACACTCTCACACATAAACATGGTGTCATACACAGTGGTGTTTTACACTCTCACACATAAACTGGTGTCTACACAGTGGTGTTTTACACTCTCACACATAAAACATGGTGTCATACACAGTGGTGTTTTACACTCTCACACATAAACATGGTGTCATACACAATGGTGTTTTACATCTCACACATAAAACATGGTGTCAACACAGTGGTGTTTACACTCTCACACATAAAACATGGTGTCATACACAGTGGTGTTTTACACTCTTACACATAAAACATGGTGTCATACACAGTGGTGTTTTACACTCTACACATAAAACATGGTGTCATACAAATGGTGTTTTACACTCTCACACATAAAACTGTGTCATCACAGTGGTGTTTTACACTCTCACATCATAAAACATGGTGTCATACACAGTGTGTGTTTTACACTCTTACACATAAAACATGGTGTCATACACAGTGGTGTTTTACACTCTCACACATAAAACATGGTGTCATACACAGTGGTGTTTTACACTCTCACACATAAAACATGGTGTCATACACAATGGTGTTTTACACTCTTACACATAAAACATGGTGTCATACACAGTGGTGTTTTACACTCTCACACATAAAACATGGTGTCATACACAGTGGTGTTTTACACTCTCACACATAAAACATGGTGTCATACACAATGGTGTTTTACACTCTCACACATAAAACATGGTGTCATACACAATGGTGTTTTACACTCTCACATATAAAACATGGTGTCATGCACAGTGGTGTTTTACACTCTCACACATAAAACATGGTGTCATACACAATGGTGTTTTACACTCTCACACATAAAACATGGTGTCATACACAGTGGTGTTTTACACTCTCACACATAAAACATGGTGTCATACACAATGGTGTTTTACACTCTCACACACAAAATCAGTGTGTGTGCATTTTTGTTGAATTTTTTTTTATGTGCAAAGACAAAACACCTCGTCTGAGCAGTTTTCTTCAAAGTATTAGCAGGCAGTTGTGTTATGTAGTTATCCTAGGTAAATGGTCGTGTGTCATCATTCCTTCCTAATTTCCTTCATTCCTTTCCTTCCTGGAGGCTACCTGGAGGGCATTCCACCTCTCTTCCTACATTCCTTCATCTGTCCTTCATTACTTTTTTCCTTCCTTTCATCTAGTCCTTCCTTCATCCCTGCCTTCCCTTCTTGCTTCTGGTTTCTATAATATATATACACATATATAGTCACTAGATACTTTCATAAAACTGCTATTATCACCATTCAGCAAGCTTGTCTTGTGTGCCAGTGTGTGGCTTATAATTGTTTTGAGTCAGGAGTCGGCAGCTGTCAAAATGACATATTGTCTCATTACTCACTTCCCCTCCCGCCTGTCAAAACAATGGGGTCGGATGCTGCTTCCCCTCCATTCTATCTAATTATCTTTCTCCCTCATTCTATCTCTTTCAATCTGTCTCTCTTTCTCTCTCTCTGTCTATCTCTGTCTCACAGGTACACATAAATACAACTATACATAGTGTAAATTACCTAGGATAACCCAAAAAATCCAGACAAAGTGCTATACTCTGCTTGAAGATGTGAGTAAAGGTGATGATGACACAGTCTTGTGGCTCTCTCTGAGACAGAGCTAGACGGATAGACAGGGAGTTTGGCAGACAGACAAATAGACAGACAGACAAATGTTCCTCCTGTTCTTCTTCTTCTTCCTCCTCTTCTTCTTCCTCTTCTTCTTCCTCTTCCTCTTCTTCCTCTTCTTCTTCTTCCTCTTCCTCTTCTTCCTCCTCCTCTTCCTCCTCCTCTTCTTCCTCCTCCTCTTCCTCCTCCTCCTCGCTCTTGACAGATGGACAGCTGCCCCCCTCCCTCCACCCTCGTTTAAGCTCATCAAAGGTCAGCTCTTATCAGATGTTATCTCCCCTTATCTTGTCACTGTCATGGGGTGAACTGTTTTCATGCCTCAAGGGAACATATTATTAGGTATTAGGTCTTCTTCTTCTTCTTCTTCTTCTTCTTCTTCTTCTTCTTCTTCTTCTTTCTTCTTCTTCTTCCTTCTTCTTCTTCCTTCTTCTTCTTCCTTCTTCTTCTCCTTCTTCTTCTTCTTCTTCTCCTTCTTTCTTCTTCCTTCTTCTTCTTCTTCCTTCTTCTTCTTCTTCGTCTTTTCTTCTTCTTCCTTCTTCTTCTTCTTCTTCCTTCTTCTTCTTTCCTTCTTCTTCTTCCTTCTTCTTCTTCCTGTCTTCTTCTTCTTCTTCTTCTTCTCTCTTTTCCTTCTTCTCTTCTTCCTTCTTCTCTTCTTCCTTCTTCTTCTTCCTTCTTCCTTCTTCTTCTTCCTCTTCCTTCTTCTTCTTCCTTCTCCATCTTCTTCTCCTTCTTCTTCTCTTCTTTCCTTCTTCTTCCTCTCCTCCTTCTCCTCCTCCTTCCTTCTTCCTCCTCCTTCCTTCTTCCTCCTCCTTCCTTCTTCCTCCTCCTTCCTCTCCTTCCTCCTTCCTTCCTTCTTCCTCCTCCTTCCTTCTTCCTCCTCCTTCCTTCTTCCTCTCCTTCCTTCTTCCTCCTCCTCCTTCTTCCTCCTCCCTTCCCTTCTCCTCCTCCTCCCTCTCTCCTTCCCCTCCTCCTTCCTCTTCCTCCTCCTTCCCCTTCCTCCTCCCTCCCTCCTTCCTCCTCCCTCCCCTCCTCCTCCTCCTCCTCCCTCCTTCCTCCTCCCTCCCTCCTTCCTCCTCCCTCCCTCCTTCCTCCTCCCTCCCTCCTTCCTCCTCCCTCCCTCCTTCCTCCTCCCTCCCTCCTTCCTCCTCCCTCCCTCCTTCTCCTCCCTCCCTCCTTCCTCCTCCCTCCCTCCTTCCTCCTCCCTCCCTCCCTCCTTCCTCCTCCCTCCTCCTCCTCCTCCCTCCCTCCTTCTCCTCCTCCCTCCTTCTCCTCCTCCCTCCTTCTTCCTCCCCCCTCTTCCTCTCCTCCTCCTCTTCCTCCCTCCTCCTCTCCTCCTCCTCCCACCTCCTCCCTCCTTCTTCCTCCTCCCTCCTTCCTCCCCTCCTCCTTCCTCCTCCTCCTCCTTCTTCCTTCTCCTTCCTTCTTCCTCTTCCTTCTTCTTCTTCCTCTCCTTTCTTCTCCTCCTTTCTTACTTCTCTTCCTCCTCTTCTCTCCTCTCTTCCTCCTCCTCCTCCTCCTCATTGCTTTTGGTCTCAAACTCCTCGAAATCATGAATTGATCTTCATTGACACTTCCATCGTGTTAGAGCATCACTTGGGAAGAGAAGAGTCCCAGATTTGAAGGGAAGTCACATATTTCTTACCGCTAGACATGCTGAAAAAGGACGACTGAAATGGTATTCCCACAATGCACCACTGGCTCCCCGATTTTTTTTATATGGTGCACACTGACCATGGAGACCCATTCTCTCACATGTGGGCCTACCAGCTTTCTCCTGCTCGATTTGAAGCCGCTAGAATTTATGCGTATAGATACGTCAAACACGGTATCTCCTATGACGTACATATACGACCCCGACAGTCAAAGGGTTAAAAACCCATAAAACAAAATGGAGTGTGTAGGGAGGCCTTGTCCTCGTGAATTTTTTTAAAAATCAATTATTTCCATCAATTTGAGCTCAATTTCAAGCTACTTATGGTCAGAAAGTCAACCAAAATTATCTCTATTTTAGTAGTACACCTATTCTATTAAATAATACCAAGAAGCAGTGAATAAAACAATAAAAAAAAATCTAAGAATACACCTCAAAGTTACTATTTTAAACCATACATAATGTCAAAGTTTTGCTCTTCTTATCAAGCACCACGTGGGTCAAGATTTTTTTTATACTGTGCACACTCACCACACAGACCCATTCTCTCATATCCAGGTCAAGATTTGCCACTCACAGTTTATCTATGCTGAGTTCATGATGCAGAACTACATGAGGGACCTGACCTCTACCATGTAGTTCTACGTGACAGCCACTGGAGGCCCTGACCTCTACCATGTAGTTCTACGTGACAGCCACTAAGGGACCCTGACCTCTACCATGTAGTTCTACGTGACAGCCACTAAGGGACCCTGACCTCTACCATGTAGTTCTACGTGACAGCCACTAAGGGACCCTGACCTCTACCATGTAGTTCTACACAAAAGCTACTGAAGGGTGAAAGGATAACTGTCCAAATTAACCCTTTAAGAGTCCAGATCCTCAATCTGAAACTTGCCCACAGGATCCAAGAATTTTCTATAATTTTTTTTCTTTTTTCTTTTGAAATGGTAGAGAATCTTTTTTCTGAAGGTAATAAAACAAAAAGTGCCAAATTTGATGGAAAACTGAAGAAATTACGCTATTGCAAATTTTGCTGTGTCAATGTTATTTACTTACTGAAGATTTTGACCACTGAGTCTCATTTTAGGTCAATTACATTGTTCCAGTTGACCAAAATATTATCTATTTCACTAGTATGTCTTCCATTTTATTGACTGAGCACAAGAAACTCTCCAATCAACTATTTCAACTACTCAATACAGTGATCAGATATTGGTAATTTGGCCAATTTCAAACAAATTTTAAAATATTCCAATTTCAAAATAGAGTCCAGGATAAACAATGCAGACATTCCTGGCACTAAAATAACAATTCTTCTGTTCATTAGTTATGTTCTCAGACTTAACACATGAATTCCATTTTTATTTTTTATTCACACAATAAAATAGAAGATTTACTTTCATGCAACATTGTAATAATTGTATAAATAATATCAGTGCCTTTGCAAATGCACATTAGACCCACCAGTTGACGTGTTTGGATGCGTGATGTAATTTGTTTACTATTGAACATCAGCAAAAATCAAACATTTCCCCTAATTTGAGCTACATTTCAAGCTATTTTCATTCATAAAACAAATCAATATCTTCTCTATTTCTGTAATATATTTTTCGTTCTATCAAATAAGACCAAGAAACTGAATACAGCTATAAAAACAATATGAAAATACACCACAAAGACGCTGTTTTATACCAAAAACACGGTCGCAGTTGTTTTTCTTATTATGCACTGCGTGCTTAAGATTTTTTTATATGGTGCAGACTTGCCACACAGACCTATTCTCTCACATCCAGGCCCAAATTTACTGCTCATGGCTTATCTGAGCTGAGCTCCCGGCACAGACCATGGCATCAAACCCGTAGAACAATGGCACGGACCCTCAAATGGTTAAAAAGGATGCATCACTAATATGGTCTTCCACCTCAAATATTTGTTCATCACTGGTTGCCTCCCATTGAGGCAGACCAACCTGAAAAACAGGAAACGCTTTCAAATATTTTTTTCATTTTTCATTTAGTAACTGATTACAGGACAAGGTGATACAGGCACCTTGCTCCCGGCATTTTAGACACCTCTTACAACACACTTGGCTTGTGGGGGTAGGATTCTTCTCCACTTCCCCATAGAGAACCTCTCATACAGGTAGGCCCCAGTTATATAGCAGGTTAGGTTCCAAGCTACTGCTGTATGTACAGCAGTAGCCCAGAGCCTAACCTGCTCTATAATGGGGGGCCCTCCTGTACAGCAGTAGCCCAGACTCTAAACTATTGTATAACTGGGGCCCTCTCATGAGGGCCCTGCTTATACAGGTTAGGCTCTGGGCTACTGCTGTATGGGAGGGCCCTGCTTATACAGCATGTTAGGTTCTGGGCTACTGCTGTACGGGAGGGCCCCGCTTATACAGCATGTTAGGTTCTGGGCTACTGCTGTACGGGAGGGCCCCGCTTATACAGCATGTTAGGTTCTGGGCTACTGCTGTAAAGTGAAACAGCCTTTTTTCACTTTCAAATTCATAAAAATGCCTGACAGCAAGTTTATACTATCAAATAATATTCTCGTCCTTAGTTTATAGCGAGAAGCGAATATATTTATTGCAGGAAATCTCAATAAATGAAAAATGGTTATAACTGAAAACTGCTGCATTAGCAAAATGCTGTAAAGTGAAGTGCTTTAATGTGGGACCCACCTGTACTATGAACTAATAATAAATGAAAGAAACACTCACAGCTTTCTTGCGTTCCTCTCGATGCTTGAGTCGCTGGTCCTCTTTATGAGCCTTGACCATCTCTGTCAGATTGGCAATGAACTCATCAGTCTGCGTAAGAAGGTAGGCTAAACGTTTATCTTTCTTTTCATCAATCAGTTTGCGGTAACCTTCCTCGTCCTCCAGCATGAGGCGGCGCAAGCGTTCCTTCTCTATACGCTCCTGTTCTCTCTGCTTCTCTCTCTCAGCGTTCACGTGGTGTGTCAACAGTGCCTTGTTTAACTTATTTATCTTCTGATTATTTTGACGATGGTATTCCCTGAAATTACAAAACAAAAATTAGTTATTCACCAGCATTCAACCTGTTGTATTTACAACATTCAACCTGTTGTATTTACAATATTCAACCTGTTGTATTTACAATATTCAACCTGTTGTATTTACAATGTTCAACCTGATGTATTCACAATATTCAACCCGATGTATTTATAATACAGCCTCTCCTCACTTATCGACAGAGTTCCATTCCTAAGACCACGTCGGTAAACGAATTTGTCGCTAATCGAGGAACCACCCTTTGCTGACACTTCAAAAATGTCACCACCCGAAATTAAAACATTCAGTTTTGTGTTTGCTGTGAAAATCCTTTCAATCCATTCATTATTAATGGTGATACAACATGAAATAGGTCAATACTTACTTCAGAGATATTCCAGGAAACGTGCACAATGATGATTATTTGGGAAAAAAAATCAAGAAAATTGTACTTTTTTCAGTCTGTGCATAGGATAAGAGTGATCTTCTATAGTTACCTTTTAGGTGCATAATGCATAACATTTTCTGTAATGGTCACGGTCACTTTTTTTTTATCCCTCTCCTCCCTCCCCCACCACCCACCCATCAATACCTCTCCATATGTCAGATTTTATTAACATGGGCGTCTTTATCATGCTTCTACGTAATTTGTTATACCTAATATTTTTTTTTTTTTTTTTTTCAACAAGTCGGCCGTCTCCCACCGAGGCAGGGTGACCCAAAAAAGAAAGAAAATCCCCAAAAAGAAAATACTTTCATCATCATTCAACACTTTCACCACACTCGCACATTATCACTGTTTTTGCAGAGGTGCTCAGAATACAACAGTCTAGAAGCATACACACATAAAGATACACAACATATCCCTCCAAACTGCCAATATCCCAAACCCCTCCTTTAAAGTGCAGGCATTGTACTTCCCACCTCCAGGACTCAAGTCCGACTATATGAAAATAACCGGTTTCCCTGAATCCCCTCACTAAATATTACCCTGCTCACACTCCAACAGATCGTCAGGTCCCAAGTACCATTCGTCTCCATTCACTCCTATCTAACACGCTCACGCACGCTTGCTGGAAGTCCAAGCCCCTTACCCACAAAACCTCCTTTACCCCCTCTCTCCAACCCTTTCGAGGACGACCCCTACCCCGCCTTCCTTCCCCTATAGATTTATATGCTTTCCATGTCATTCTACTTTGATCCATTCTCTCTAAATGACCAAACCACCTCAACAACCCCTAATATTATCCTGGAATAAATATGATAGGTAGATAAACTTTATTGATAGTACATGTAATAGCATAATTATACAATATTTTATAGTGGCATAAGGCACACCTCCTTGCAGCATTGGGTAGCATCAGTTACTGTGACACCACTTCTCTCCCTCTGCTACAGCTCCTCCCACCTTGTAACGGTGCCATATAAATACATATATTAGAAAGAAAAAAGTAAATAAAAAGGAAACTCCAACTTGATAACTTTGTTTTAATTTGCATAACTCTTACATATTACAGAAAACAATAAAAAGGCTAAAGAGGTCTTTGTGGCATTTATGGATTTGGAAAAGGCGTATGACAGGGTGGATAGGGGGGCAATGTGGCAGATGTTGCAAGTGTATGGTGTAGGAGGTAGGTTACTGAAAGCAGTGAAGAGTTTTTACGAGGATAGTGAGGCTCAAGTTAGAGTATGTAGGAAAGAGGGAAATTATTTCCCAGTAAAAGTAGGCCTTAGACAAGGAGGTGTGATGTCACCGTGGTTGTTTAATATATTTATAGATGGGGTTGTAAGAGAAGTAAATGCGAGGGTCTTGGCAAGAGGCGTGGAGTTAAAAGATAAAGAATCACAACACAAGTGGGAGTTGTCACAGCTGCTCTTTGCTGATGACACTGTGCTCTTGGGAGATTCTGAAAGAGAAGTTGCAGAGATTGGTGGATGAATTTGGTAGGGGGGGAAAAAAAAAAGAAGAAAATTAAAGGTGAATACAGGAAAGAGTAAGGTTATGAGGATAACAAAAAGATTAGGTGATGAAAGATTGAATATCAGATTGGAGGGAGAGAGTATGGAGGAGGTGAACGTATTCAGATATTTGGGAGTGGACGTGTCAGCGGATGGGTCTATGAAAGATGAGGGTAAATCATAGAATTGATGAGGGGAAAAGGGTGAGTGGTTTGCACTTAGGATTCTGTGGAGACAAAGAACTTTGTCCTTGGAGGCAAAGGGGGAAATGTATGAGAGTATAGTTTACCAACGCTTTTATATGTGTGTGAAGATGGGTGATGAATGTTGCAGAAAGGGGAGAAGGCTGGAGGGCAGTGGAGATGTTCATGTCTGAGGGCAATGTGTGGTGTGAATATAATGCAGAGAATTCATAGTTTGGAAGTTAGGAGGAGGTGCAGGATTACCAAAACTGTTGTCCAGAGGGCTGAGGAAGGGTTGTTGAGGGGGTTTTCAGACATGTAGAGAGAATGGAGCGAAACAGAATGACTTCAAGAGTTTTATCAGTCTGTAGTGGAAGGAAGGCGGGGTAGGGGTTGACCTAGGAAAGGTTGGAGGGAGGGGGTAAAGGAGGTTTTGTGTGCGAGGGGCTTGGACTTCCAGCAGGCATTCGTGAGCGTGTTTGACAGGAGTGAATGGAGACAAATGGTTTTTAATACTTGACGTGCTGTTGGAGTGTGAGCAAAGTAACATTTATGAAGGGGTTCAGGGAAACCGGCAGGCCGGACTTGAGTCCTGGAGATGGGAAGTACAGTGCCTGCACTCTGAAGGAGGGGTGTTAATGTTGCAGTTTAAAAACTGTAGTGTAAAGCACCCTTCTGGCAAGACAGTGATGGAGTGAATGACGGTGAAAGTTTTTCTGTTTCGGGCCACCCTGCCTTGGTGGGAATCGGCCAGTGTGATAATAAATATATAAAAAATAACTCTTTCGCTGTCGGCGCCCTATAGTAGTACGGCTTGCAAGCCAGTGTTGGTGCCATAGTATTACGCCAAAGTTCTAGCGGCTTCAAATCTAGCGGGAGAAAGCTGGTAGACCTACATGTGAGAGAATGGGTCTAGTGTGTGCAGTACAAAAAAATCCTGCAGCGCTCGGTGCAGGAGAAAAAAAAAACTCCGACTGTGTTTTTGGTTTAAAATGTAGACTTTGAGGTGCATTTCCGTATAGTATTTATGGTTGTATTCTCGTTCTTAATTGATAGAATGGAAGATATATTACAGAAAAAGATATAATTTTGATTGGTTTCACGATGAAAAGTACCTTGAAATACCGTCCAATACATGTCCAACTGGCCAATCTAATACCCAGTCACGAATGAGTTGATATTATTTATACAATTATTACAATAATGCAGTAGTTTGCATAACAGTAAATCTTGTATTTTTTTGTGTGAATAAAAATTCAAAATGGCAAGCAAGAGTAATATAAGAGGGACCAGGAGCTGTGACTAATGTTATTTTAGTGCCGGGAATGTCTACATTGTTTATTCTGGACACTATTTTGAAATTTGTGTGAAAGTGGCCAAATTGCCAATTTCTGACCACTTTATTGGGTAGTTGAAATAGGTGAATGAGCGGTTTCTTGTACTTAGTCAATAGAATAAATAGAGTTCTAGTGAAACAGCTATGAGTTTGGTAAACTGGAACAATGGAATTGGCCAAAAGTAGGGCTCAAAGTAGGCGAAATCACCGCTGCGTAAATATCGCCGACACTGCTAACTTCGTGAGAGTGTAATTCCGTAAGTTTTCCATCAAATTTCATACTTTTGGTGTCATTACCATTGGGAAAAAAATCTCTTATCATTTGGTAAGAAAAAATAACTCTTTTTTTTAAATTCTTTGACACTGAGAGCAAGTTTGTGAACAGGAGTCTCGACAGTAAAAGGGTTAATTAAGAAACGCTTAAGCTCAGTGAGCAAGATACAGTGGACCCCCGCCTTACGAATGCATCGCATTATGTTAAATCCGCCATGTGAAGCATTTGAATGCAAAAAATTTTGCCTCGTCTTATGTAATTCGTCTGGGACGCATCCCACGTGTGGCCTCAGCACCAGTGTTTACAAGCCAGCCAGTGCAGTCGCATCTATGCATACATTCGGTACATTTCACATTATCCCAGTGTTGGTAGACAGGGAAGTACTACCGTCCTGCCAGATGACTGTGAAACAAAAACCTGTAACTGTTTTGCATGATGGTAGGATTGCTGGTTTCTTTTTCTGTCTCATAAACACGCTAAGATAACAGGGATATCTTGCTACTCCTACTTACACTTTGGTCACACTTCACAGACACGCACATGCATATATATATATACATACATCTAGGTTTTTCTCCTTTTTCTAAATAGCTCTTGTTCTTTTTTATTTCTTCTATTGTCCATGGGGAAGTGGAAAAGAATCTTTCCTCCGTAAGCCATGCGTGTCGTATGAGGCGACTAAAATGCCGGGAGCAATGGGCTAGTTTAACCCCTTCTCCTGTATACAATTACTAAAAAAAGAGAAGAAGAAAAACTTTATAAAACTGGGTTGCTTAAATGTGCGGGGGATGTAGTGCGGATGACAAAAACAGATGACTGCTGATGTTATGAATGAAAAAGAAGTTGGATGTCCTGGCCCTAAGCGAAACAAAGCTGAAGGGGTAGGAGAGTTTCAGTGGGGGGAAATAAAATGGGATTAAATCTGGGGGTATCTGAGAGAGTTAGAGCAAAGGAAGGGGGAGCAGTAATGTTAAAGATCAGTTATTTGGGAAGGAGAAAAGAGAATATGAATGTGTAAATTCAAGAATTATGTGGATTAAAGTAAAGGTTGGATGCGAGAAGTGGGTCATAATAAACGTGTATGCACCTGGGAGAAGAGAGGAATGCAGAGGAGAGAGGAGATTTTTTGGGGGATGTTAAATGAATGTATAGGAGCCTTTGAACCAAGTGAGAGAGTAATTGTGGTAGGGGACTTTAATGCTAAAGTAGGAGAAACTTTTAGAGAGGGTTGTGGTAGGAAGTTTGGGGTGCCA